CGATGTCGCGAGGGTTCGCCAGCGGTGACCCCAGAGTCGGATTGCGCGCCACGCGCGCAGAGATGGCACCCGCGGCCCCGGCCTCCGCTGCACCAAGGAAACGCATCGTAACCTCCATTCGACCCTCGAGACTCGCGGCTGGCATCGTCTGAAAAGGACCCTGCAAGATGCTGGAACCAACTTCCCACGTGGATTCCTTGAGAAGCCAGAAGCGGCTGATTGCCGCGTCCTGCTCTAGCTCTGCCCGTCGGGTGCGAAAGCGAAGCCAAACCTTTCGCTCGAAGTCGGGATGCTGGACCTGGGCATCGGCGAGCGGCCGTTCCAGCTGCGGGAGGCGCTGCGGTAGACGTCTGGAAGAGAGCACCGCCCTGCGGTTCGATACTTTGGGCTTCCACTCCAAGGCCACCGCCTTGACCCCCCTGTCCAACTGCTCCACGGCGCGCCGGCTGCAATGGCGGCGGCCCAAACGGGGCAGCCCGCCATTCGAAGCAAAAATAATTTCGGACTGGTGCATCTCCTGCATGGCCCAGCGCCTACCAGTCACATCCTGAAAATGCGCCCCCCCGCGCCCATCCCCGCGCCCGGTGCCCGCCGCAGCGGGGCAGGAGCGACGGTCGGCGCCCGCTGCGACCCGCCTGACCCCCCCCCCAGAGATCGCCGCGGCATTGCGCTCGCTTCGGGTGAAGTTGCCCAATCTCGAGCGCTCGATCTCGCGGATGGCCGGGAAGGCGCGGCAGAGTCGCGCCTGCTCCGTGGGAAGCCCATAGCAGCCCATCTCCTGCACCTCCGCGCCAGCGTGGAAATTGCAGACCATCGCGTCGAGACTGCCCAACGGCCCCGCTAGCCCCGGTCGAGCAGCGCGCCCAGGCCAGAGAACATCACAGTCCAGGCGACCTCCGTGAAGTCGTTTAGAAACGTCTGCTGGGCGACTATCCCCGCGGCCGCGCGCGCCGCGCGGGGCCTGGGAGACCACCGAGCTGCAGTGCCAGCGGGGGGGCTCCGCGCAGCATGCTGCGCAGCGGTGCCGCTAGCTTCTGCGATCGGCGCTGCATCGCCGCGGGTCAGCACAGCCTCCAAGCGGGTCAACTTCTGCCTGCGGCGAAGAAGGCCTGCGCATTCCAGGCGATGGCCGTTAGGTCGCCCCGGCACTGCCCAGGCCGCGCCGGCCGCGAGACGATCGCTGGCGCAGGCGTGGAGCGAGCGGGCGGGAAGATGCGAGCGCGCCCAATTCAATCAAAGTTCCAAGCCACCGCTGGTGCCGATATAATTGGAGCGGGAAATCGCCGACGCAGGAGCGCCCGCCATCGGCTTGAAACGCGTCGGGGAGAAGGTCGACCTCAGAGAAATGACGCGGAGACAACTTGGGCAGAAACCGATCAGGAATATTGGGAACGCCCCAATGACTGGAGCAGCGCCCGGGGCTGCCACCAAGACCCGAGCTTAAATCGGGCTTGAGATGCCGAGCTGAAGCAACAAAAAATGAGTCTGCGAAGGCGCGCCGCAAAGCAAGAAGGGCACTGCCGCACTCTGGCGCGCATTGCAATGGGAAGGACAAGAAGACGAACCAAAAAAGATAATTAGATCAAGCGGGGGCATACGGGTGAGTGCGAGCCTGGCTCCAGCAACTCGGCTCAGCAGAGGCTGAGTGGAGAGCAATAACGAAGTCCAACATCCAACCTACGGTGCCCTCAGAAGTCCAGAACTGAATTCAATCATGCACAGCGCTACCAGCCACTCCGGCCAGTCGCCAAGGCCGCCGTAACGCGCCCCCAGGGGTGCACTCCGCGTCGAGCCTGTCGCCGGCGACCTTGAAGCCGACCAAATGAGTGCCGACCTGCGCCGTCTGTCCGTGCAGCGCGGCCCTTACTTTGCGCACCTCGTCCAGACTGGCCAAACGCAGCTGAAGACGGCCTGTGAGAGCCGAAATGTCCTCCAACGCAACGTGGACGCACTCGCCGGCGCGCGGCTCGCGGGAGTAGTCCGATTCCACGAGGCTGAGCCCCGTCTGACTGCACGCGTGCTGCATCACCAACTGGAGCACCTCCCCGCCCTCCTTGCCGAACTCCCCCGCGGCGATCAGCTCCGCGAGGTAGTCCGAGTCCGAGGCCCGACGGTTGCCGCGGCGCCTGCCAGCTGCCAGCGCCTCCGTCGTCGCTGTGGGTGCAGCGATGGTTCTCCCCTCATTGTGCGACGCCTTCCATTTGAGGCAAAAGTGAATGGCCTCGGGGTCCTCGCGCATCACGTCGTCCGTAGTCCCCGCCCACTGCATAGCCTCCGCGGTCGGGGGGGCCAATAGCCTCGCTGGTGCGCGCGCGACCATCAGGCTGCAGAGAGGCCAGAACAGAGGCAGGCCACCCGGGGCAGCAATCTCAATCTCGCAGGGCCCACCGCACGTCCTGCGTCACGTGGCTGGCCACCTGGAAGCGCTGCATCAAAAGTGCGAATTTGCGATTAAGCCGGGGGCAAGATGAGCTCAGCGGACTCCGTCGGTGCTGACTCACCGTGATGTCCTGCGCCCCAAGTAAGGCCAACCGCCCGAACAGTAGCGGTGAATCATCCGTCCTCGCGCCAATCGTCACCATCTGCAGCCGTGGTCGGGTGAGGAGCGGCTCGACTGGGAGGTGGATGCACGGCGGCTGCCTGGGGCCATCATGAGCGAGATGGAAGATGGCGAGCCCTTCATGCCGCAGCCTGGGTCCCGCGGAGCTGGGGCGACTGATCTCCATCGGGATCAGGGAGGCCCTGCAGCGGCGAACAACTGGTGCCCACTGTGGGGCCAACAGTGGGTGCCAGCAAAAGCCCCGTGATCGCGTGGATGTCCCGCGTGCCTAACAGGAGGCCCACGAAAGCGATCAGGCGGCGAGACTTCGGGCGCGCGCCGGGCACTCGCCGAATGAAAGCGGACAAACAGCGTGCCAGCCCGCTGGGGTCCTCGGGCGCCCAGAGCACCACGTGCTTGTCCTGGCGCCAATCCCACGCCCTGCCGCCCCCTGTCTCCGCCAGCGCCGCGATGCCGCGCGAGTCGGCGATCGCATCGTCGCTGCACCAGTCCTGGCGGGTGAGGTTGGACCACTGGTCAGCACCAGCGGTCGAGCTCCATCCTCCGTGGGGTGGCTGAAGAGCTGGAGCGCTGTGGTGCCCAACTCCTCGTGCAAAGGGAGGTCGCGAGGTTTGCCCCTCTTGCGCTCCCGAAGGGCACGTGGGAGATCGGCTTCGCACTGCCTGGCGGCCTGCCCGAGCGCGGTGAGGAAACCATTCAGGCGGGCTCGATCGATCTCGGCCTATCGCCCGAGCTCGGCGAACTCGCAAATCATGCGGGCAGTGGACTCGCGGCGAGATATCAGGAGCTCCGAGGGGGGTGGGTCCCGCCACGAAATCCAGCCCCATCAGGCGCCATGGGTCTTGGGCGTCAGCGCAATAGGCCACCCTGGAACTCCACCCAATCTATCGGGATGGTGACAGGCATCGGCTCCGCGCGGATGCTCGGGTCGATGGCGTGCGTGCACGAGGGAGAAGTACTGGATGACCTCCTGCTCGACGAACTCTCGCAGCATGGTCATGGGAGCCGTGCTGAGGAGCCCGGGAGGGGGCGGCAACCCAGGGGCCGGCGGCACGGCCAGTGGGTCGGACATCGCCAGCTCGGCAGCGGCTTGTGTCAGCCCAATGCCCTGCCCCCGACGGCGGCAGCTGGGGCTGGCGCGTCCGCGCCGGTGGCGGCCGCTGCATGCGCGGCGCCTATGGCGCCCCCAGGAACCGCCGGGGCCTCCACGCCTCTAGCGAGACACTGCGGGCCGCGTCCGGCCATCGCTAGAAGAAGGGGGAGTTGAGCGGGATAGAGTGCGAAGATGTTTGAGCCCTGTACCCCTGGACCTGACCAGGAGCGCACTGGTGCACGTTTTCGGGCCCCAGAGGCCGAGAACTTGAACCATCTTGATTGCTTTTCGTGCGGGGGCTACGCCAGGGGCTCCCACGAGCGGCCGTTCAGCGATGGCATCCACACAGTGCGCAACAGGAAGCCCAGCAAAAGCCATTGCAAACATGTTGAATTGGTTTGGCAGGGCAAGTTTCCGAGGTATGGGGATGGCCGAGTCGTTCGGAACATGCCCCCCCTCGCTCAGCGTCCGTCAGGAATGGTCCGCCTACCCCTACTCTGCAATTCCTGCCCCCTACTCGCGTAGGGTCGTGGCCCCCTACTCTGCAGATCCTGCGCCTCCCTCGGTCCGAGCTCCTCGGGACTCCCAGGGCTCCCAGGTGCTGGACGTTCAGCGATGAAGTGTGCCTGGAGTTCGTAGGGGGAGGCGGTCGCACGCATCGCGAAAGCAGCGGCAGCGTCGACAAAGGCTCGAGGCCTTTATAGCAGCTGCCGCAAAACTCCTCTTTGACGCCCTTTAGGAGTTGGGGTCGCTCCCCCATTTTTTCTGCATGCGAATGGGGTCGCCCCCCATTAACAACTTAAGCCTGGGCCTCCTCGTCTTCCTCCTCCTCTTCCTCCTCCTCCTCTTCCTCCTATTCCTCCTCCTCCCTCCTACTCCCTGCTCCTTCCTCCTCCTCCTCCTCCTCATTCCTCCTCCTCATTCCTCCTCCTCTCTCCTCCTCCTCCTCCTCCTCCTCCTCCTCCTCCTCCTCCTCCTCCTCCTCCTCCTCCTCCTCCTCCTCCTCCTCCTCCTCCACCACCTCCGCCTCCTCCTCCTGCTGCCCCTTCTTCCACCTCCTCCCTTTCCTCCGCCCCCCTCCTCCTCTCCTCCTCCTCCTCCTCCTCCTCCTCCTCCTCCTTCTCTTCCTCCTCCTCCTCCTCCTCCTCCTCCTTCTTTCTCCCTCCTCCTCCTCCTCCTCCTCCTCCTCCTCCTCCTCCTTGTCCTCCTTTTCCTCCTCCTCCTCCTCCGCCTCCTCCCCCTCTTCCTCCTCCTCCGCTACCTCCTCTTTCTCCTCTTCCTCTTCCCCCCTGGATCATCCACTGTGTTCGTCCCTCTTCCCCTCTCATCATCCCTACTCCCCGAAGCCTGGCGAGCGACATCAGGCAGGTGTGGGCAAGGGTGGAGGAGCAGCGCAACTTGTGGTAGATGTTGTTCTGCGCGGCCTCGCCAAGCAGCAAGAGCCACTGCTGTTGCTGCTGTTGCTGCTGCCGCTGCTGCCGCCTCGTCATCACCATCACCATCATCACAAGCAGCATCACCACGACCACCACCATCAATGTGTAGTTTAGTTCACTTCGGGTTCAAGGGCTCGTGCTGGCGCAAACGCTGAACCAGGCGGGTTTGGCCGTGCGTGAGCCAGAGAACTGTACTTCCGCATGGCACCATGAACAAGAGAGTAAAAACCACCCCGAGTTGTTCGAAGACCCGACACCAATGCGACAACTTCAGGTTGCACGGTAACGTGGAGCTCTCGCGCCAAGTCATGTGACGAAAACCTGTTGACAACGCTCTGCTTTCCTGACCCTCCGCATGTTGGGTTGGTATTGAGAAATCCCTCGGTCGCAAGATGCGCCGACATCACACTGCGATGCAGATCACGCATGCTTGCTGATGTTCTTGAGAGCGCGGCTACGGCACGGACAATATACGTGAACGTTTTGATCCCGCCTCTTGCTGGGGGAGGCGTGCGCTCGGAAGCATAACCACATTGCTCGCAACAACCAATACATGTCGTCTACGGCGCGCGTTCGGCACCAATGGTCTGTGATTCCGTCAGAATATCACTCGGGGATCTTCTGACCCAGGTCAATCCAGACCCGGGTCAGCAGGAAACCCAAAAACTGCAATGCAGGCACAAAAACTGCAACGCAGGTCTTCGCAAACCCGGGTCAGCCAATATGCGCGGCCGCCTCGCGGCCACGAGCGGCTCGCTAACCCGGGTCAGCCAGAGGGGGTCTTCGCAGGATCCTGCAGGATCCGGTGCCCTGGCTGACCCCCGTTTGCATTCACCCCCGTCTCTTGAGCCCAGAATCACCATGACTCACCCCGCGCTGGTCTTTCAGCCTAGCCACAAATCTCACAATGAATTCTGGCAGCAGAACGACCGCAAGCTGCAATGCATTCGGTTCCCGACACGGACTGCTACATCGGCAAAGCCAGCCTGATGCGAGCGACGCGCGTCCGCAACGGATTGGCGGCGCGGGCCCTCGAGCATCTGGCAAGCACCTGCTGGCGCAGTTCAGGGGCGGCCGCCTCGGGAGGTACAGCGTCAGCAAGAAGAGCATCGGTTCGTTACGCATGTTCTCCATCGTTTTCGTAGAGTCCGAGGCGCTCACCGTCGCTGCGCAGGCGACGCGCGCCAAGCCTGGGAACCATGCAAAGTGACGGGTCAATTGGGGGGCCCAAAAATATACACCGTCACCACCTCCCTCACCCCCTCCCCCTCCCAAGAAACAGGAGAGAAAAAGAGAGTAGAGGAGGGAGGAGGAATCGACGTGGTGGTGGTGCATATTCTTGGGCCCCCCATCAATGGGCCGTTTAGCTGCAGCGGTTGCGAGCGCACAGTGCATCCGCAGCCTGGGCATGGGCGCTGCTGGGCCAAATTTCGCAGAGGCAGGCGAGCCGAATCTAGAGACCACAGACATCGCGCGAATGGTAATGCGCAATATTGAACCGCTGAATCCCACCAGCCCTTTGGGCGTGAGTGGTTTCGAGAGCCCGCTCTGTTCTCAACCCTCCTTCTTCCCCTTCGGGGAGGGGTTTACCCCTCCCCCTACCCCCTCCCCCTGGACCTGGAGAGGGGGTTTCGCGGGTCGTTGGAGGGGCCTTTGTCGACTCCTGGGAGGGCTAAAAAACGACACCCCTCACGAGGATTCTGGCCCCGACGGGGGGAGGCAGAAAAAAACCTCTCCTCTTCTTCGAAGCCAAAATATTTGATGTTACTATGGTTTTGGCCACATGTTGCCCTTCTGAGGGGGCAGCGCTCCTTAAAGCTCCCCTCTTCTTTCAAGGCCAAATCATTGATTTTACGAAGGTTTTGGCCTCATTTTGCCCTTCTGAGGAGGCAGCGCTCATTAAAGCTCCCCTCTTCTTTGATCGATTCCCTCCAAGATGGCCCCAAGAAGCGCCCAGGAGGCACCAAGAGGCCCCAAGATGGCCCCAAGAGGCCCCCAGGAGGCCCCCAAGAGGCCTCCAAGAGGCCCCCAAGATGCCCCCAAGAGGTCCCCAAGAGGCCCCAAGAGGCGCCGAAGACGCCCCAAGAGGCCTGAAGAGGCTCCCCCAAGGCACCCCAGACGTTCCTAGAAGCCCCTGGGGCCGCCAAGAGGCCCCGAAGACGCTCCAAAAGGCCTCCAAGAGGCTCCCAAAACGACTCACACCACGACGAGGGCACCGAACGACTCACACCACGAGGAGCCCGAACGAGTCACACCAGGAGGAGGGGCCCGAACGACTCACACGACGACGAGGGGCCCGAACAACTCACACCACGAGAAGCCCGAACAACTCACACCAGGACGAAGAGCCCGAACGACTCACATCACGAAGAGCCCGAACGATTCACACCAGGAAGAAGGGCCCGAACGACTCACACCAGGACGAGAAACCCCAAACGACTCAAACCACGAGGAGCGCTTTCTCTCCCTCCTCCTCCGCCTCGTCCTTCTCCCGCTCCCCCCACAAGGAGGATGTACAAGGAGGCGGGAGGAAGGAGGAACAGGGGAGACATGCGGGGCCAAGCGGACACAAGCCTGAAAAACACGACAGTCGGCATGCTTCGCAAGAGTTGCTGTTGTGAGATGGGCTGGTGGGGATACGCGAAGCGTAAAGAATTCAAACAATGTTGGTTGTGTTGTTCGGCTTCGTCGGCCTATTGTGGCCATTCCACACCGATCCTTTACACCTGACGTGTTCGCGTTGAGCAACCCGCCAGCCACCCCAGGACTTTGCGTCGACAAGTGTCACGCCGCGCAGCAAGTAAACTACTAGATGCCTCGCTGGTGGCATCACATCAAAAATCTTTGGGGCCGCGCATGATGCCACGGCGCGTCAAATTCTCGAACGGCTGCTTCGCCGCCCCACCCTTGCCCCTGCGCGCGCTGGCCATCTGGGTAAAGTGCGCCCACCCTGCACATGTGCTGCGCCTCTCTATCGTCGCCTCGCGCGGCAAGCTACAATCGAACGCGCGCGTTCGGTTTGTCGGCGGCGGCGCTCGCCCCCCAGGCGGCCCGCGGCCGAGCAGATGCATGGCGTGACAAACTACACCTCAAGAAACAACATGTCAGCTTGTGATTAACAAATGACCCGAACCCCCCCCCCCGGGGCTGGTGAATACACACCGCGGGGCGCGACAAATGTTTCAAAATCACGCGCGCCAGGGGGTCGTTGCTGGCGCCACCGAGGGGATCGTGCACCCCCTGCATGACAGCCTCAAAACGATTGCCTGTCGTATAAAGCCAATATAAAGCTGTTATAGGGGTCGTACACATCCGAAACGATTTTTTCCATCTCAGGCGTCGTCGTCGTCGTCGCCGCCGTCGTCGTCGTCGTCTTCTTGTTCTTCTTCGTCGTCCTTGTCATCGTCGTCGTCTTCGTCGTCGTCGACTACAACGGGCCTGCGCACCCCCCCCCCACATCCCCGCAGAACGTCGTCGTCGTCGTCGCCGTCGCCGTCTGCCGTCCGCCATCCGTCGCCCTCCCTCGCCCTCGTCCCGTCGTCGTCGTCGTCGTCGTCCTCGCTGTCGTCGCTGTCGTCGCTGTGATCGTCGTCGACGACTGCAGAGACCACGACGGAGGGGGGGAGGAGGACTGCCCGCCTTGCCCGGGTCGGATGAAAGGCTGGGGAAGGAAAGGGGGGGGGCTGCGAAACCTGCTGCGCGCAGCTGGTTTCGGTCGCCCCGCCGAAGGGCCAGAGGCCCCAAGAGGCCCCCAAGAGGCGCCCAAGAGGCCCCAAGAGGCTCCAATGCAGCCCCCAACAGGCACCCAGACTGCCTCCAAGAGGCCCCCGAGAGACCTCCCACGAGATCCCAACGAACATCCACTAGGCTTCATACCCACAACCCAGGCACGGTTTCGGGATGGGCCGAAGGCCGTTGGATATGCAATAGTTCATCCTGTTGCTAAGGGCGCGGAGCCTCTTTCACAGACCAACGATGCCAAATACAACGCGTTCTGCCCGCATCCAGCATGATCCAGCACGAACGATTCCACGTACTATTGCGTACATGTTTGAAGCCCTCTTTGCAAAAAAACATCAATCCGCATCTGACATTGTCCTGCTAAATCCACCGACCCTGTCGGCGTGTGTGGGACGTTTTCCCGTTAGAACCGTTAGGGTCGTCGCCGTCGCCGTCGCCGCTCCATTCCTTTCCCTGGGCCTCCTCCTCAAGCGATCCAGCCAAATGGAAATCACAAAACGTCGTCATTGATTTACCTCCCTGTTGGGGGGGGGGCCCGGGAGGGGTCCCAGGGGTCCCCGGGGGGGGGGGTCCAAGGGGGGTCCCTGGGGGGGTCCCCCTGGAAGGGGGGGGCCCGGGGGTCGTGACCCCCCTCCATGGGCCCCCCCCCCCTTGTGGAAAGGGCGACAGTGTCTGGCCCTTCCGGGCCCGCTTTTCTGTGTCGGCCGTCCCGGTGTCCGAATAAGAGCCGCGGCGCCGCGCACTGCTTGTGAACCCCTGTGTGCCCGCAACCCTGGCACCTGGGAGTGTACGACTGAGGGTTGGGGCTTGGAGGATCTCCGACAGGAGGGTGGTCACCCTGTGGGCAGGCCTGTAGACAGAGGGACCACCAGACTCGCCCCCAGAGGCACCCTCCGTGTATCTTCCCGCGGGCCTCCACGAGGCCTCGAATCCGCTCCGAGGCAGCTCCAAGTGACCACGGGGCTCCCCAAGAAGTCCCCCATAAGAGGCCCCTCGGCAGAGCACAAGAAGCTCACAAGAAGGCCCCAAGAAGGGATCCAGAGCGTCAGCGTCGTCATCGTCGTCGTCATAGCCGCCGTCGCCACCGCCGCCGCCGCCGTCGGCGTCGTCGTCGTCGTCAAGGTTGTCGTCGTCGTCGTCGTCGTCCCCCTTCAGGGTCGACGGCACCTGCCGTAAGCCCTGCCCGATAAATACCACATGTCGCACCACAACGCGTATCCGCGGCCTGGGCCAGGCGTGTTGCTTGAGACTTCCTGTCAAGTTACGACCCTACAACTCTGAATTGCATCAATTACAAGAATGGGAGGCTGGTGGTTTCAACAAATCCGGCTGCCATTTCAGCGCCGCAGCGATTCGTAGTCACAAACAGCTGTTACAGAGATGGACGCAACTTCGAGTTTACAATGTGGTTCTCGCCTTAGCCCCCCGCGCGCACGCGCTTCAAATTCTTCACACCCAGACAACGATAGGGGAGCTGTTCGTTTCCATCACGCGCCTGTCGCTACAGACGTACGAAAAATGTCCCGATATCCATATTGTGTAATACATGAACGGACGGAAGGCAACTCCGTTTCAACATGGGACTCTCGCATTGCGCCTTCCCCAAACTGCATGCCCAGAGCTTTGAAGTGTCAGCACTTGAACGAATGGAGGGTACATCATTCTCAAAACGCAATATCGCTGCACAGTTCCTTGAACTTCATCATCCTAGCACTTTGGGCATCTCTTAGCAAGACTATTGGGAGCTGGATCTTTGACGAGGCACGAATCTCGCCTAAAAAGGAAGCCCACAGCAGCGCGGTCGCCATTCGAGCGAACGATATCCTCGATGGGCAGGAGTGATTGTAGGAGCTTGTGAGGAGGGGACTGGGGACCAGAGGCTTCGTAGATGCATCCTTGGTTTACTCTAGTCCTGCTCCTCCTGTTCCTCCTTCTGGTCTGCCCCCCTCTCCTAGTAATATCATATCCACAAAACCTGATCAGCTCATATTCACATCAGTACCACCACCACCGACAGTACGATTATCACAACCATCACCATCCCTCCTCTTCTACCCTGTCCTTCTCCCCTTCCCTCTCCCCCTCCTCCTTCTCCCCCTCCTCCTCCTCCTCCTCCTCCTCCTCCTCCTCCTCCTCCCCCTCCTTCTTCCTCCTTCTCTTCATGCTTCCCTTTCCTCCTCCTCCACTCACGCCTCGCCGAGGTCACCCATCTCGATCACGTACTCGGCAACGATGGAGCCGGCGGAGAGCGACATTGATATGCACTCGGGGGTTATCATGTCCCGGCCAGCCTCCACGAGGGGGAACTGCAAGAGAGAAGAGGGGAAGGAGAGAAGCGGAGAGAGGGCGAGAAGGAGAGGGAATGTTGTGGAGTGGGCTAAACCTAGGTGCGTGTCATAAATGAGGCCCCCTTCTGAGTCACAGGCCTCCTCGTCCTCCGACTCTCGAGGGGGACGACGGTCAGCTTCCCCCAGGGCGCTCAACTTTGGGAGAGCACTCTGGAACAGACTAAAGGCTCTCAGGACGTCTGCCTTCGAAACGTGCACTCCAGCCTGCGCGGAGACACCCGCAGCCGCCTCGCTGGCATCCGTGGGTAACGGCCTCATCCAAAGAGAAAGCAGATCCCGCTCGAACAGTCGCAGTCCACGAGGATCACTGAGGCGCAGGTCCATTGTGGTGGCTCTGTAATGCGGGTATTTTCCATGACGGGTCCTCTTGATCTGCGATGCAACTCGGGACGAGGCTGGGCAGCCCTAACTCCCTGCGAGCAGAGCCCCACTCGGGCACAAGTCAGAGAAGTAGCCGCTGCAAAGGAAGCAACAAATAAGAACTCCTCCCCCCCGGACAGACCCAGTCTGACCGCAGCAGACCGTTGCCGTGCACATAGAAGGAGCTAGCCACATGGTTGGCCCGGTCACCGCAGCGACTTCTCTCAGCGATAACCACGCCGACGAAACATCCCCCCAAGATCGTTGCCCGGCTTGTGCTGCACAGTACTGCCGTGTGCATGGAGGCACCCAGCCCCACCGTGCCTGCATAGTCATGTCATCCCTCTGCGGGTAGACCTCCAGGGATCCACTCCAGCGGGCCGCTTCGCGGGCAAGAGATTTGAAAACTCGGACCAGGTCCTCCTCAGCCGTTCCGAGGCTGTGCTTGGCCGCGCCATTTTTGCATACTGATCAGCCGAATCGGCTGCTCGCATTTTCAAGGTCGCGACCAGGCCCCAGGGCACATCGTGTATTGGCGCAAATATTTGCTATAATTGTTGATGTGCGCATCTTCACCACTGAAACTCTACCGGAACGGGCTCCAAATATGGCCAAGAGGATCGCAAGGCCTAGTCCTGGCCCCAGGACCCGCCCGCAGAAGATGGAGCGCCCCAAGGCAGCCCGAGGAAAAAAAACACGCCATTGCACTCTGAGTTAGCATGAGAGCAGCGTAGCCTTTAAAACTTCGGCCGTCCGTCTGGCCCCGTGGTTGAAATGAACGGGGCCATCACGAGAGCGCAGGACTCTACCGTCCGCGGCCACCTGGACAAAGGCCCACCCATCCCTCGCACGGCCGTCGACACTGAGCCAAGAAACACTTCAGTCAGAAAATTAGCCTGGCGAAGAACCCAACCATATGCAGTTGTCAGTACCGCAGCTGCGGGTTTCATCTTCAGTGGAACTCCCCATAGGACAACGGAACGTGTGAGGGGTGTGCCGAGATGGGTGCCACTGGGGCATTCGGTGAAGCTCCCTATGGGGACATGAAACACGCGCGGGGCGTGCCGACATGGGCGGCGGAAACGCATGTGAGGGCCGCCGCTGGGGCCTCCAGTGGAGCTCCCTTTGGGTCCCCGAAACATGATGCTGCTGCGGGAGGGGGTGCCAAGATGGGTGGCGGAGACGCATGTAAGCGCCGCTACTGGGGCCTTCGGTGGAGCTTCCTATGGGGCCACGAAACGCGTGAGGGGTGTACTGGGATGTGTGGCGGGGACGCATGTGGGCGCCGCCACTGGGGCCTTCGGTGCAGCTCCTTATGAGGCCAAACGTGTGAGGGGTGTGCCGAATTGGGTGCGGGTGGTGACGCATGCGGGCGGTGCCACTGTGGCCTTCGGTGGAGCTCCCTATGGGGCCACGAAACCTGTTGTTGTGAGGGGCGTGCCGGGATGGGTGGCGGGGACGCGTGTGAGCGCGGCCGCTGGGGCTTTCGGTGTTACCTATGGGGCCACGGAGCGTGTGAGGGGTGTGCCGAATTGGGTGGGTGTGGGCGACGCATGTGAGCGCCACCACTGGGGCCTCCGGTGGATGATGGGGCCACGAAACCTGTGACGGATATGCCGAAATGGGTGTGCGGGACGCATGCGCATGTGAGCGCCGCCACTGGGGCCTTCGGTGGAGCTCCCTATGGGGCCACGAAACGTGTGAGGGGTGTGCCGAATTGGTGTGCGGGACGCATGCGGGTGGCAACACTGGGGCCTTCGGCGGAGCTCCCTATGGGGCCACGAAACGTGTGAGGGGTGTGCCGAATTGGGTGTGCGGGACGCATGCGGGCGGCAGCACTGGGGCCTTCGGCGGAGCTCCTATGGGGCCACGAAACGTGTGAGGGGTGTGCCGAATTGGGTGTGGGTGACGCATGCGGGCGGCAGCACTGGGGCCTTCGGCGGAGCTCCTATGGGGCCACGAAACGTGTGAGGGGTGTGCCGAATTGGGTGTGGGTGACGCATGCGGGCGGCAGCACTGGGGCCTTCGGCGGAGCTCCTATGGGGCCACGAAACGTGTGAGGGGTGTGCCGAATTGGGTGTGGGTGACGCATGCGGGCGGCAGCACTGGGGCCTTCGGCGGAGCTCCTATGGGGCCACGAAACGTGTGAGGGGTGTGCCGAATTGGGTGGGTGACGCATGCGGGCGGCAGCACTGGGGCCTTCGGCGGAGCTCCTATGGGGCCACGAAACGTGTGAGGGGTGTGCCGAATTGGGTGTGGGTGACGCATGCGGGCGGCAGCACTGGGGCCTTCGGCGGAGCTCCTATGGGGCCACGAAACGTGTGAGGGGTGTGCCGAATTGGGTGTGGGTGACGCATGCGGGCGGCAGCACTGGGGCCTTCGGCGGAGCTCCTATGGGGCCACGCGTGTGACCCTATGACGAAACGTGTGAGGGGTGTGCCGAACGCATGCGGGCGGCAGCACTGGGGCCTTCGGCGGAGCTCCCTATGGGGCCACGAAACGTGTGAGGGGTGTGCCGAATTGGGTGTGGGTGACGCATGCGGGCGGCAGCACTGGGGCCTTCGGCGGAGCTCCTATGGAGCTGCGAAACGCTGTACTGGGTGGGTGAAACGCAAGGAAGAGAGGGAGGAGGAGGAGGAGGAGAGGAGGAGGAGGAGGAAGGAGGCGGGAACGCGGGGACCGTCTCTTCAAAACGAGGACCCAACACCACAGGATGGTTGGGAAAAACCTTACATGTGAAGCGGGCCGAGGCTGGGCAATTCACCTAGTATAACAACTGCCCAGGAAACGCAGCCGGCACAAAGGCTAAAAACGAATACCAAATCCATCGTGTAAAACCTTCAGCCAAATCCGCCCCTCCGTCCTTGACTCGGGCAACGCGACGCGCCAAGCAAAGCGAGATTCCATCCCGCCTCAAGGCGAAATGGGAGTCACACTCGCGCTGCCTGTGACCGCGGCGTCTCACGCGAGATCGAGCCTGCAACCCACAATCACGCGCGAGCGACGAACTGTGGACGAGCGCCTGCGGCCACTGAACATTCCGCGCCAAGAAGCGCAGCATGTTTTCGTTCTTGGGGCAGCAAGTGGCAGAGGAGGTCCGATAGGGGGGCTTGAAGGCATCCCAGGAGAGCGGATAGGCAAGCCAACGGCCACGTCTTGCTTGCCCAATGGCTTCCCCAAACCCGTCGATCAGACGCCCCGATCGCCCCAGCTCGGGCCAGAAGCCAAAACTCGGCAAGAGACAACTGGCGAGGTTCCATGTTGCGGCGCCTTTACCTAGAAGAAACTACCAAAGGCGCTCGCGTTCCTTGCCACGGGTGTTTCTTCGCATCCTTTATCCACAAAGCGTCGCGCCGACCGCGGAGCGCAACATTGGCATCTCCAGAAAACGATCCCAAGCAACAGTGGCCCATTTGGAATGAACACGGCCCACGCACCCCATCGTCGGGACAACCGTCCTTCGGACCGTAAGCGGGCGCAGCCTAGTCCCTAGAGGCGCCCGTGTCTCGGCGTCAGCCGATGCCGCGGGCCCTGGGCCGCCGACGGCCTCGGGCTGCACCTGGCCGTCGGCGGGACCCCCCAAACGCTGACGCCCCAGAGGCCCCAGAGGAGGGCCGGGGCAGCGACCCTCACCATCTGGACGAGGGCCACCTCCGCGCCAGCGTCCGGCAGAATCCGCAGCCGCGTGGGCTTGGATTCCGCGTCGATGAAAGTAAAGGGGCCCTGGGACACGCAAATAAATACACACAAATAAAAAGATTCCCCATATTTTCCCATATTTTCTGGGTGTTTGTCTTCCACCCCCACTTCCCATAGTTTCGCATATTTTCCTGGGAATCGACGATTAATTGTGTCTGTGTGTTTCTTCCCGTCCTGAGAAAGTGGCTCCGCGGACCCCGCTCCCCCCGACACCGAGCACGGGGTCGGCGCTCGAGTTGCGCGAGCGGTCGACCCAAGCAGGCCCCTGGGAAACACGACTGCTCGACTCAAGCAGATCCTCTCCCACACTGCACATGTAAAGGGGCACCAGGACACACAAACAAATACACACACATAAAAATATTCCCCATGTTTTCCCATATTTTCTGGGTTTTTGTCTTCCCACCCACTTCCCATATTTTCCCATATTTTCTGGGGGATCGACGATTAATTGTGTCTGTGTGTTTCTTTTCCTCCTGATACACATGCATTCATCATTCGTTGCTCCACGTGGCGGGCCACGGGCCTGGAAACTGTGGGGTAACTGCGCCACAAACGCCTGCACAACTGCAAGCGCCACCTGCTCAACTGTCACGCACGTCTGATCATCTGCCGCACTGAGCTTGAACGGTTCGCCCCCCTGCAGCGTAGAACAACATGTGCATACTTGAAAATCGGGCAAGCACCGTAGCCCAAAAACGCCATGCAACCACAAGAAACTTGCCAGTACCAGTACATAAAAACCCCAAGGGATAAAAAGGGTCCGCGTTTCGGCATGGACCGACACGTGATGCCGAATAATATGATTCCCGAGGTTCCAGTGGGACCCCGCCGCACGGGCATCCACGCGGCGGATGCGCTCGAAAACTGGCCCCGACTCGCAA